GCAAAGCTGGAACAATTTTCATTCACGCTTCATATGCAAAGTGCTTTATCCCGTCCAGTTGTTTGAACTAACAACATAGCAACCATACTTCCTCAAATAGATTAAACTAGGCTGTATATGGCGAGCCTATGAAGCAAGACTGATTTGATTCAGAACAATTTGACAAGAAAGTCAACATATTTGTGTGACATTTACATGGACTCTGAAAATATTACAAACCTCTGATAAAAGGAGGTAAAATATTTAACATGATTTATGTCCCAAAGGAATACATTAATATGAGAGAAATATATATATTAAAAAAATCCTGCAACAATCTATTTGCATGAGTGAGCACGCTAGTGAACAACTACAATAGTCTGATCCAGTTCTATTCCCAGTTTGTCAATCACCCTGATGTAGGTACTGTTCATATCCTCCCCCATGCTCTCTGCTACGCTACATATTCTTCCTGCCACAAATGCTTGGGCTAATTAGCAAGGCTACAGAAAACGTTGCATAATGTTGTTTTCCAGTCACTCCTCAATGTATTGACAGCATATTGACAGTTTCAACAAACATGCAAGAAACTTATTTTTAAATAAAAGTTAGATACTGCAGCAACTTTAACTCATAGAAAACATTCAGACAGTTTTCTGAAAACTGTCTGAATGTCGAAAACTGTCTGAATGGGCGCGTTGGATGACTCAGTTGATGTAGCACACATGTCATGTACCGAGGCTGTTGGTTATTATGGATTCAGTTCCAGGTCTCAAGCCATTTGTTGCCTGTCTTTCCCCTCTCTCTCCACTCTGTTTACCACCCATATACTGTTCAATGAAGGCCACTAGGACCAAAAAAAAAAAAAAACTGAAGAAAAGCAATCTCAAGTCATAAAGTTTGTCTACATGTTTTGCTGTGGGTGTGATGTTTTCCTTGTGAATTAGCACAAAGCACATCCTTTTGTGATCCAAATATGTGAGAAAGATTTCTTTGGACCAAAGCACTTTCTCCCACTAGATTTTGGAATATTTTAACCAGGCCAAAATGCTTTCTTTGAAGAGAAGGCCTCTGTCATGAAGCAGTCCAGACATACAAGGAATGCATGAACTTGTCATAGTAGTAGAACATAACCTGTTCTTGCGAGACATTCTGGCATCGTTTTCATTGTTACTGTCAGGCTCTTGGCAGCATTCCAGACCAGATTCTATTTCTTCTTTTCATCAGTTTTGGAAAGTCATCCAGGTTTGTTAATCTCTCTGTTGTCCCATATTCCTCCAACTGTTTTCACTCCACCATAATATGCATAGAACTAAATATTTAAGTGTGCAGACTTAAACAAGCGAGCTATTGCTTCTCTCTTATATTATATATTTTATTATGTTCTACCTCAAAGATATGTTTTTTTTTTTTATTTTTTTCAAAATTTGTTTGATTTAATTTAAGAAATGTTTTAAAAGGCTTTATTGTATTTTACATCATGTTTGAAAAAGAATGTATTTTAAAGACTGAAAAGTATTCCCAGGAAATACTTGTCTTATAGTGATGGTGAATTGTGTGAAACTGCTTATTTATATTTAGTCCTATAGTTTAGTTTAGAAGAATATCTTCATAGTTTTAGAAAGTGTTGTAACAATAAGTATGTAATAAAAAATATGTCTTTGTAATTATTATGGTTTTTCATACACTGAAGACATCACAGGGAATTACATCTGCGAATGAAGATTTTCTTAGAAATAAATGGCACCCTATCATTATGCTAACTCATATTTTAATGATAAGACTTTCCCTGTGCCTCAGTAAACACAGTTTTATCAGTCACATTCATTTGCATTTCCATTTGAGCTTCTTATGAAAGGTTATTAATAAAATAAGAGACAAGCATGTCCGAATCAAAAGAAAGGAGAAAAAGTCTCTGTTTGTTTTGTGACATTGTGTATGAAGAGGGGAAAAAAGCCAGTATCTGCTTTGCAATCTTTTTGATATTATGAAGGCAGCTTGCTACGGAATGCTTTATTTGACTACAGGTATGGGTGGAGGAGGAAAACGACTACTGGGTATGCAAACAGGATAATTTGCATGCAAAGGAGGAGAAAAGGATGTGGAGCTGTGTGTGTGGGGGTCTGTGTTCTGAATATGGGTTTGGAGGAGAACATGTTTTTGAAAAAAACATTTCAAACACATTTTAAACTTTGCTCAATCTTCACCATTCTGAGCTTGATTACAGTTTGAATGAAGTGCAGTTTGAAGTTGGGAGCTTTGGGAGCTCATTGTCTTAAGCAACTGATGAAGAAAATAACAGCAAAGTATATTTTATTTTGAGCTTTATTATGTTCTTTGAAAGATCATAATTTTGTGTTTTGCATTGATTTTTGACAAAATGTTGTTTCCAAATTAATAATACAGAACTTTATCAGAGCACAGCAAATATTTATGTAAAAAAGCCTTCTGATTGCACATTTCAAGTTACCCAGAAATTACACCAGGTGATCCCCACTGCACTTCATTTTGTGAGAAAGCCTTTAACTTTTATGTTTTGTCCTATTTATCTGTTCAATTTACAAGTGCTACCCCAGAGAGAATTTTGGTAGCATGTATTTTTTTATTATGACTGCAAGGACACCACTATAATATAAAGTCCCCTGAGATAATGTAGTTTCTCAATACATAAATCAAATAGAATTTTAACTACATGCTCCCCAGATGAGGCCCCAAAATTTTACTTACCCAGATCCTAAACTGGTTTAATCATAGTTGTTTTTTTATTGTTGATATACAGCAGATTTACTCAAATACTGCAAGAGGCACACAGCTTTTAAAGAAAATATTTTATCATTTTTTATCATATGAGACATTTTGATGATGTTGAAAGGGAAAAAAAAGAACCTTGCAGTAGGCACTCACCAGAGGGATGTCTTGTTTCTCCGGCATGGTCAACGCAAACTTTTCTCCTTGTTCAGCTTAACCACAGCAGAAGAGACTCTGAGTTCTCTACAGGTGAACTACTTGGCTCATCAGCAAGTGACATGAAGGTAATACTGTTCCCTTAGCCAATCCCCGAAGCGCCTGTCCACCATTACTTTGCATGTTGATTAGCCATACTCTGGCCCCATCAGGACCACACCTTTATTGTAATGGCAAGCTGCCTTTTTTTTTTTTTTTTTTTTTTTACATTTGTGGCATATTTACTGTCTTTTAGGAGTTTTTTTAAATATGTTTTGCCATAGCAACTTCTGCATTGACAAAAAATGAGGGCAGAGCCCCTCCACATTTGGTAAATGTGGATACAGATCAGCCAAAAACCTTCAAATAAATTCATTATTAATTGCAACAGCAATACTTGACTATAGATATTTATTCAATATTTATTTAGTGGATCTGAAAAAAGAATTATCTTGACATAAATATTAAGTCCTCAACCTACACTGTGGAAAATACTACAAGTTTGCTGGACTGTGCCTTGTAGGCTTGTCTGGACTATGATTGGCTGGTCTGCCTGTCAATCATGGTGGATGCCAACCTATCACAGCCATAATGTGTTGGAACTTTCTAGAGTGTGCAGAAGGGTTTTTTTTTTTTTTTTTTTTTTTTGTAGTAGCTTGCAGTAGTTCAACAGCTTAGCAACTCTATTATCAATAAAGAAGTTATAAGTGTGATGTTTGCTGATCATTTAGTTTTGTTGCATCAAGAATTGTAAGATGAGCGATAATAAAAGGACACTACATTTTTGCATGTAGATGCCCGCAGTTTATTCTGAAACAAATTGCTATGCCCTTTAGTCCATACACTAACAGGCCACTTTTTAGGTACACCTTGCTTGTTATTGATTCAATTAAGAATCAGGCACATTCCTCAGAGATTTAGGGCTACATTGATGCCATCATGCATTTGCTGCAGATTTGTCAGCTTGACCTCCACGATATGAATCCTCTGATCCAACATGTCTCAAAGGGATGGTTATTAGAGTGGAGTTGACTTACTGACATGTTCAAGATACTAGTTTGAGATTATCTGAGCTTTGTGAAAGGTTCTGAATTATCCTGCCAGAAATAGACAACACAAGACATGAACATTACAGCCACAAAGGAGTGGGAATGTTGAGAAACATCAGTCAGATCAGGCAAATCTGATCTCATATAAAATTTTGGTGAACCTGTGGGCATTGTAGCTTAAGATTCCTGTTATTCCTGTTTGGATAAAATGCCATGTTTGATGTTGGTGTAGCTTATGTAGGAGAATGTTCCATAAGAAGTGTACTTAGAAATGATATTATTTTCACTTCGGTTAGAAAGAGTGGATATTTGAGCTGTTGTTGCCTTTCTGTCATCTCAAACCCCTGTGGCCATTCCCCTCTGACCTCTGGTGTGAGCAGTGCATTTTCATCCACAAAGCTGCTGCTAACTGTATATCAGCAGTTTCTGAAATATTCACAGTAACCGACTATTGTTACTAGCACTAACAATAATGTTAGTATTAGTTACAATACTAACATTATTGCATTGAAGGTTTGTTTGATTGAGGAACCAGTCTGACAACATTAAAAGTTTTCATCTTAAAATGGTCTTTAACAATACATCTGTCAATTAGCATTTTTCATTGTTTATTTAGTAACACTGAGGATCTAGATAGTATCAGAAGTGATTCTCAATGACCTGATTCAAAGTGTACCCAGCTTGTGCAACAGTGCATTCAGCAGGAAAAACATCACTATTGTTATGCTAATTCTAAATTGACCTCTGCTTGTCAAGGCAGACTTTGATAGAACTGGAGGAGTTTGGGGTCTCAATAGTTTCATCAGACAATGATCCAATTTCACCCCCTCTGTTGCTTCTCCCTGGTTTAGACAGCTGCAGCCAATCAGAAGCCTCTATTCATTGTGTACAAACAAAACATTGCGAGCGCTGCAGCCTTTAAATTGTCCTGCATGACCCCGTGGATATGTGTAGACCAGAGGGACTCATCAGCAGCATCTCCTGTCAGACACGTTTTTCCATCTAAACATCTTCAAAATTACTTGCACAATGAATATCAGATGCAGAGAGTCTGTTTGCAGGAACCTCTTTGGTCCAGTGGACCACGACCAGCTGCAGCAAGACTTACAGCTGAAACTGAAGGAGATGATGTCGCAGGACAGCCAGCGTTGGAACTACAACTTCCAATCTGAGAAGCCACAGCTTGGCAGATTTCAGTGGGAGGAAATACCTGCAGGTCATGCTGCCTCTTTCTATCAGGAATCCCCACAGCCAGTGGTTGAAGTTAATTCTCCAAGAACTGAGGACGATGGCACTGAAAGCAACATTGATGAACACCTTGGCACAAACCAAGAGAACTATTTAAGTGTGTCCAACACACTGAAGCGTCCTGGTGAAACAATGCCTACAAGAAGGAAGCGGTCACTCTCCAAACCTGTAGCAAAGTCCAATGATGCAAGAATTACAGGTACAATATTCATAATGGAATATTTTCTATTATATCTTCATAACAGCAGCTATAAATCAATAAAATGTTATTTCTTCTGTTTGGCAGATTACTTTGCAACAAGAAGACGGTCAGTAAAAGCTAAGATCATGGTCAGTCTTTTTCACACCAATTTCAACAAGGAAACTCAGTGCCAGACAATAAGATGAACATACTTTGGAAACGTTTGCATGACTATTTTTGACCACCAGAAGTAAGAATTAAGAGGGAAACCATTATTTTATTTTATTTTTTTAGTCATGTTTATCTGTATTTATTTTATTTATGAGTATGTTAATTTAAAAAAAAGTTGTATCTGTTTTAATTTTGTCAGTATTGTCATTGAATTTCTTGGATCAGCTCAGCTGTTATTGTGAAATTGATAAATTAAAGTCTTGTAAATTTGTACAGTCACTGCAGAGCTAATAAACAGTGTAATTGAAGAAAGCACAGATGCTTCAGATTTTGTGATTGCATTTCCATCTAATTAGGTGTTCTGAAACATTCCCTGTAGTCTTCAGACAAAACAATGTTCCACTTCACTAATTTGCAAATAATTTATCCATCAACTTATAAATAAATTTAACGGTTGATGTAGAGTGTATCTTAAAAGTTTTATTACTAATTACCAAGTTTTAATCATGACCTCTTGTACACCTATTTTTACAAAAAGATATATATAAATCACACAAAGATTATGCTGTTCATTTTTATTTTTGAAATTCAAAATAGTATTGAGTTTTTACACAAAATTAGATTACAAAGTGCAATATATGACAATGAATTTTGCAAATGCTAAACTTGCTTTAGAGCAATCAATATGAATCAGTTAAAATAAACTAAAGCATTACTAAAATAAGATTGGTATTGCATCTTGAAATGATAAACAGTTAATTTTTTTTCAATTCCCTTAAGCCCCTAAAACCTATGTGAGTTATTTTTTAATATTAACTTGATAATTAAAGTCCAGCAACCTGAATCTATAGAATAATGTTTAGCTTGCTGAAATACATACATCATAGTTTCCCCCCTTGTTCAGTTTCTCAGTTTAATAATTTTTCAGACTGTCTGCAGGCTTATAAGGCAGTATTTCTGTGTTAGCCACAGATGAATGGGTTCATAAGTGTCTCTCTGAAGTGATGGAAAATGGAAAGAAAGCTGAATGTTTAGAAACCAAAGGAAGAAATTTACTATACAGTAATTGCATTTTCTGGGTCTTATTATGCACAATTTCATAATCACAGTTATAAGGAATGTGCTGCCAGGCTTTAAATTATATCCATTAACATTAACTGTGAGTTCCAAATTACTCCATTAGAGAGGCTACATCCCTCATAAGTGTATTTGCTCCTGTTATGTTTAGGTTTTAGTAGTGAAAAAAGTCTGAAGAGGCCATCTGGCCGGAGAGCAGCACAATGGCCACAAAGGAGAGTGTGCCATCTAATTCACCTGCAAATTAGTTCTCACGTCCTTCCACCCCCTCTCGGGACCTTCTTTTTCTCTTTTCTTTTTAGTTTTTGTCTCTTTTCAAGCTCAAAGAAATGACATGTGCCCAAAGCAGACCCAGCACAGCCTGATATTTTCTGCTTTTGTGAGAAGACTGTGGTCAAATTACCATAGAAGCTCAGAATAAGAAACACATTTTAATCCACACAATGAAAGGTCCAATGTGTTTTTATGAATAAGGAGAGAAGAAACTTTCTTTTTGCCATTTCAAAAACCTGTAAAAATTCCTTTGCATTTTACCACACAGTACCATAATTAATTGCTTAAAGATGCATGCAACAAGCCTCATGCAGCATCAGTGAAATAAATTAGATGTAAGAACAATGGCAATTATTTCAATTAACAAAAATTAAATGTATCATCTTCATATATCCCCAAAACCTGGTCATTTTGCCCCATTACCATTTTATGGTTTAGTGGCTTTGGATACTTTAAGTAGAGTTTTGTACCAGCAATGCATCAATTGGCACCTATAGTTATGTTATCCCCTTTGACAAACAGCAGTTAAATGCAATGTCATGTACATATCACGAATAGGACATATGGCTGTGCAGCTCAGGTAAATACTGTCTACCAGAAGGAAGTCATTCATAGTTATTTTGGTGTCATATTCACTTATGTGTCATAGGAGTCAACTGAATCAAAGAGAGGATAAGAACTATATTCAGTGGAAAAAGAGAAACTATATAATCTTCAGAAAATGTTCTACAACTAAATCATAAGTGTCCATTTCTTGTATTATGTTTTTCTAAAATCTCTTAGGAGAAATAAAGCTGTGCCCAATAGTACAAAATAGGTTTATGTATACAACGTGGGAGTAAGTAAGTTAAAATAAAAATTTTAATACATGTGTATGAAATGGGGGGAGCACCCGACAAAGGGGCAAACTAATTTGTAACCTGATCAGATACTAATATTATTAATACAATGTTATTATTTATCTATTTATTAGAAACATGTAAATTTTTGGTCTTGTTCATTTGTTTATCTGTGCCTGTCATTTATAATTAAACCCTCAGTCACAGCAGAAACAACTTCTTCACAATGAGCCAGGCTCCAGTAGAGGTTTATTCCTCCTGAAAAGGAGTCTTTTTTCACACCATCATCACATGTATGCTTACTATGAAGGATTGTGACAAAGTTAACAACCCAATGAAATCAATCAGCTACTGTTGCCACATGCTTGTTCAGGAAAAGGAAAGCGAAGCCAATAACTTGACATAAGAGAGTGTATTTCCGGACACAAAATATTTTCTTTTACCAATTGTCATGTCAGATTCAACTTCAATACACCATATTAAAAATACGATTGAACCAATGACTACTTACTGCATTGAACATATTTCTATATTGCGTGTTAAAATGTGTTGAGATGAAATCTGTTATGAATTGCTGATATGTAAATAAACCAAATTTTGTCTTGGTGTTCTGTTTAAGTACAGAATGTCAGACTCACCACAATGCATACAGGCAAATAAAAAATGGCTGAATAAATTGCATCTTAGACTGAGGTTAAATTAAATTAAAGGACTGCACAGCAGGGCCGTCACAAATACAAACAAAACAACTAGGCACTGTCAAATAACGCCAATTCAAAAATAAATAAACAGGGCTGAAAGGGAAGCAGCTGCCGTTGTCATTGACTTTAGCTTTGAATTGTTTTGTCGTAAATGAAAACAAAGTAGATTTTCTGTCCATTGTAAAACAAGGTAGGTTTCAGTGTAAGTATTTTTAGTATGTTATTTGTCTGGTAATCTCCATCCAAACTGGTCCTGTACATTTGTTTGTATATTTATTGCCTAAACAGAACCAATTAAAGGGGTAAAACAGAATGTTTAGCCACACTGGACTCAATGTAATAAAATTCTCCTCTCACCAGTTCCTAGTCAGTACAAAGGCCAAAATCCCATAGCACACTTCAGGAGGGTGCTGCCTATTGTTGTGGTCACCAGAGGCAGATGGTCACTTAGGCTCTTTCACCACATGGTCAGCTGTGTGAAGGAATGCCTCGGCACCCCATGGACGGCCAGCGGGAGAAAGGTCACCATCTGCTGCCTAAAGGTTACTTATGTAAAAAAACAGACTATTAACCGTTTGTACAATAATCCACCCCCTTGTTGAAGCTTTGAAAGAAATATTGCTGAAAATGCAAGCTTGCATAGTTACTGAATAGTAACTTGATTTATTCTTCAAATTGTCTTTCTTCTGAATAAGAGAAAATGAAAAGTACCAAAACAGATAAAAAGCCAAAGAAGCATTATGTGATTATTTTCAATACACCATAATACACTTTTCAAAATCTTTAATCATTTATTGTTGTAGAGTATTCCTGACAGTTACAATACAAGGGAAATGATATTGAATCAATGTCAAGTGTCTAATTACCGTTAGACATATAAATCACTTCTCTAGTATAAAGGCTAAATAAAGGTTTTAAATAGAATCAGAAAAAATGGATTGTGGCGTCTAAAAAGCCTCAACATGCCTATATACATATATTGGCATGTATATGCCTATATATATATGCATATAACTGCATGTTGTGGCATTTTAGATGCCACAATTATATATATATATATATATATATATATATATATATATATATATATATATATATATATATATATATATATATATATATATAATATATATATAAAATTATATATATAAAATTCCCTTCTCACCCACCGCGGGTGGTTCTTATCCTCTGAGCTCGGGTCCTCTACCGGAGCCTGGGAGCCTGAGGGTCCTGCGCAGTATCTTGGCTGTGCCAAGGACTGCACATTTCTGGACTGAGATGTCTGATGTTGTTCCTGGGATCTGTTGTAGCCACTGCTCCAGTTTGGGGGTTACTGCCCCGAGGGCCCCGATGACCACAGGCACCACTGTGGTCTTCACCTTCCAGGCCCTCTCCAGTTCTTCCCTGAGGCCCTGGTATTTCTCCAGTTTCTCGTGCTCTTTTTTCCTGATGTTGCACATCTCCGTGACTGACCAAAAAGATCAGATTTCTACTATGGAGATGACTGACAGTGGCCATTGAACTAGGCTTATTCAAATAAAAACCAATGCGTTGACCTCAAGATGCGCTGTCAGCGCTAAAATCTAAAAGTGGCAAGGTTGCCTAAAAAAGCAAAAGGTAGTAGATTTTTTCCCCCGATTATCTTCCCCACAAAGTTTGAGAGAAGACAGATTTGGACTACCACCTTATGGAGGACGATGCACCTGTGTCAGCTATGAATTTGTGCCAGGATTCTTAGCTTTTGGATTACAGAGAAAATACTGAGGCAGGCATGAGACAACACCTCTCTGACACTTAACATGTGAAAGACCTTCATGTAGACCTACTGAAAATTTCCAGTGGAGATGAAGCGGCACCAACCATTTGAGAAGGTGAAGAAAAACTTTTCTTAGCCCAAGGTGTGCACTGGATTTCTTTATGCTGTGAGTCTACTGACACTAACAAGATGTTCAACACCCCAAGAGATAATCAGTTTCTGCCCAACTACCTGTTCAATGAAGAGGGGTGATTGTTGTGCACCGGTACATTTGGTATGCATCAGCTAACATTGCCTCACCTTGCGACCTAATGCAACCAGAACATCTGCCTATGATTAAACATTTGGGCTACAGCTCCTTGGCTAACAATAAAGGTCACACTTCCTGT